TTATTTCCTGCCTTTTACCTACATCCCTCAATTAGTGATTCATGTTTATTTCCCTTTGTGCAAGGAATAATGTATGCATTTGGTGTCTGTCTCTGCTTTAAAGTTGTACCATCTTCAAATTTATTCTATAACCTAAGTCTTGAAAACTGAAATTGATCCTTGGCAACAATTTCAAAACAAATCATAAGCCAATAAAACAAAGCTTGAGGCATTTTGCCCTTAGCTCAAATTCAGAAAAGATAATAAAAACATTAATACTCTTCTTCTTTTTCTTCTTCTAAGACTAGGAAGTTTTTAGAAAGGGCAGGATCCTTTATTATGACAACATAGCTTGGAAGAAAATGACTCAAATCAATTTCAAGCCACTGAGTGCCAAGTGAGTAAAAGATAGCTACCTGCTGAGAGTGGTGGCATACACCTGTGCTGGTAGCTACTCCAGAGATTAAGGCAGAAGACTAAAAAGTTCAAGGTCGGCCTGGGCAATTTAGTGAACTAAACCTATCTCAAAATTAAGAAATAAAAAGATTGGGGATGTAGCTCTACAGAAGAGCACCTCTGGGTTCAATCAACCCCTTTCCAATCCCCTCCCCAAAATACATAGCTAGCTGTACTCAGGCAGTATGGAAAAGCCGGCAGAGGAACCGGAATGTAATAAAATTCATCATTTGGGGATTAAGGAAAGATTGAATGGAAGGGTTTACAGGCAGCAAAGCTTGCAAAAGGAGAGGCTGGAAGTCACAGCATACTTGGAGACAAATGACTCAGCACACAGTCCCTGTTATGAAATAACTCCAGTATTTGAAATATGAGAGAGAGAGAGTAGCACATTTAAATGTATGCATATATCAATTCACGTAAACTTAGGTAACTGGAGGCAGAGTGTCAACATGCTAACCACTTACATGATCGTTCAAGAAATTTCATTTGAGGGCTTCCTTTGGACTAAGCCCTATATTGCTGCCCTTGAGATGCTTAGAATCACTACAATTTGGTAAGTGTTCGGATACAGACATGTACAGGATGTGATGGAAGCCTGTAGGTGTGGCACCTTGACTCGCCTGGAGATGGGAAATGAGGGAAGGCTTCCCACTAAGGTGGTTCAGACAGACATAGCCAAATAATGGAGAAAGGGTGAAAGGGTATTTATTACAGGCAAAGAGAAGAGCATATGCATTAACTCAGAAGCAAAAGAGACAGTGGCATGCACAGGCTATTAAAGCAGGGCTCAGCAAACTGCTTCTGGAAAGGCCAGATGGTCAGTATCTTAGGGTCTGGGGACTAAATGGTCTCTGTTAGAGCTACTCAACTCTGCCATTATGACACAAAATCAAACACAGACCGTATAGAAACAGATGAATGTGGCTGTGTTTCAGTGAAACTTTATTTACAAAAGCAGGGCGATGGCTTGCCAACCTCTGTACCTGAGTAATTCAATCAGTAAGAAAATGGAAGAGAGAGGGAAACATGGCAGGAAACTAGGTAGCCATGTGGCTTTGAATGTCATACTAAGGACTCTGGGTGTCACCCTCTTGGTTCTGAGCAGTGAAGTAATTTTAGAATGCTCATTCTTGCTAATAATATGAACTGTAGGTAGGAAAGAGTGTGGCAAGTCTGGAGGAAAATGGTCCAGTTAGGAGGCTGTTGTACTCAAATACCAATGAAGGATGATAGCACAACTAAAGTACCCTGGGTGAGATGGGAGAGGTCAGGCTGCAGCATGAGCAGGGAGATAACTCACTGCTCTAGGGAAATGAGGAGGAATACCTCCTGACCCTAAAAATTGGACTTTTCTAAAAGAAAAGAAAAAATTCTACAGGATAGGACTGAATTTTGATAAGCATATAGACCACAATGTTCAATCCAGTGTCTTAACTCCATTACCTTAATATCGTTGCTGTTCTGATTTTCTCTGAATACTGCTTTTACCTGCCAACTCAAGACATTGAACTTTCCTCAAAATCTCATAGCCCAGCCCATGAAGTTGTCTCAATAGCACCCAACTGATTCCTGCAACTTCTATTGACTCTATGTCTCTTTTACTAAGCTTCACTGCTGCTCTCACTTCTGCTAAGGACTGCTCCTGTCACCAGGTACTGTCACTTCCATTAGCCTATTTCTGCTTCCACTCACTGCTTGCTACTCCGGGGTCCTCAGGAATATCTCTCTTCCCTGTCTGGGCCCCACATGATAACCTGGATACCACAACAACACTGTCTATGAACAGGGTCTCAAAAGAGTCCATTCAGGCACCACCTGCAGCCCCTTCCTTCATAAAGCTTAGACCTTCATGTACATGCGTTAGGGAGGAAGGTTGACACCATATTTCTTTCAGGCACACATACATACACATTCTCCCCATGTTAGCAAACTTCCTGATTCAAGACCCTCCCCTCCAAAACCTCATGAGTCCATCATGTAAACTGCTCCCATCCTTTAGTTTATCAGAAGTGCAGGATAGTCCTGACCCCCAGCTCCAGTACAGCTGGGACTCCTTACTCTGGTTCTATTTCACAAGTCTTGGATCTTTTTTTTTAAGAGAGAGAATTATTTTTAATATTTATTTTTTAGTTTTCGGTGGACACAACATCTTTATTTAATTTTTATGTGGTGCTGAGGATCAAACCCAGCGCATGCCAGGCGAGCGAGTTACCGCTTGACCCACATCCCCAGCCCAAGCCTTGGATCTTTGTCCCCTCCCTACTGCACTCTTCCCATTTAACTCTAGGACTCAACTTAGGTCTCCTTTTCTCTTGAAAACCTCCTTTAACCTCTGCCTAGCTTGAGCAAGTGGTCTCCTTTAACCTCCTTTAACCTCTGCCTAGCTTGAGCAAGTATTCCAAAAGCAATCAGTGCACAACTCTACACTTTGATTCACTGCGTCCTGTTGTAATTATCATATATGGTCTCTCTCCTTATCTAATGATTGGTTCTTTAATGGCATAGCAGCATTGGTACATAATAAGCTTTCCAAAACAAGTGCTTGTGGAATTCCTAAAGCTAGTTCTATAAATTGTGGAATGCTTAACCTTCAGAAATTTTATGCGGGGCTAGAGAGACTGCCCCTCTCTTCTGCTTAAAAAATGAAGATAATTCCATATCCAGACCATATAGAAGGACCAAGCTCACAGCCACTAATGTTGGTCATTAGTGAAGATTCAAATGATTTCATCATCTCACAGAAAACCACTGGAACTTTTGAGTAGACAAAGAATGATCTTTTCTTGGTCCGGAAAGGAGGGGAGGAAGTGGAAGTATTTTTCTTCCCTAAGATCTCAGAGAATTCTTGTTCTTTCTCATGTGGGAAAAAATCAACACCTATTCATGCACCATGGGCAGCCTTTTTCATCCTAAGTTTTTTGTGTACTTTGAAAATTGTACAACCCATTTCACAGTATTTTTCTTACCCATTTCAAAGGAAATTGACAAGGAAGATTATCCTCAATAAGAAAATGTGTCATTTACTACTGTCCAGTGAATTTTAGTAGAACAGACAGTTAGTTCTTTGCCTATAAATTTGTACATAAAAATATGCACGCTTTTTTGGTATAAAAAGATACTCATTCACAAAGGGAACCTTTGTTAGCAATGTACTTTCCAGGATTTCCAGTCTGCTTTGCTCAACACTTCTTGCCTTTTCACTTTCTTAGATTAATGTCTGCAAATCTGTGTCTAATACACATTTATTAGGTACATTTGTATATCCAGCTATGATTCTCTTGCTCTTGGAAATTTGAATTTATTTTTAGTGCATTTTCTACCTCCTAAGTGGTTTTGTTCATTTAGTTCTGATTGCTTATTTAGTATCCTTTAGAAGAAAAAATGGGGATGGAAGTGTGGCTCAGAGGTAGAGCACTTGAGGGAGGGAGAGAGGAAGGGAGGATAGAAGAAGGAAGGAAGGAAAAGAAAGAAAGTCTAAGCCAGAAGTGGTGGCACATGCCTCTAGTCCCAGCTACTGGGGAGGCCAAGGCAGAAGGATGACAAGTTAAAGGCCAGCCTAGACAACTTAGTGAGACCCAGCCTCAAAAGAAAAAAAAAGAAGAAAGAAAAGAAAAAAAATGAAGGGCTGGAGGGCTGGGGATGTAGCTCAGCAGTAGAGGGCTCCTGAGTTCAATCCCAGCACCACAAGGGAAAAAATATCTGAATTAGAATGTGGAAATAGATTCATTAGAAAAATATATGTTCCGTGACCTCGGTTGTATACCACCACTAATATAATGGCAACATTTTTTTCATTATTTTAATGCACACACATAAATATAGTATAGTCTTCCTTAAACTTATCTGCAATATTATCAAGAATTCTCCTTCAGAATATAAAACAGGAGTGGGATTAATTTCTTATGAATGCACAGGTATGTTTACACACACACCTTATTATACACACTACCCATTTTAAATTATCATGTTGACTGATAAACTATCACATTTAAAAGGATTACTCTCAAAGCTTCACAAGGTTTTGAAAAATTATTTTCCATTCATCAAGTGTATTTAATACTTTAAGAGGCCATTAGAAGCTGATTTGCTGTCAAAGCCAGTCAAATTATCAGAAAGTAAGGGTGCCTGGTATGCATTCGTTTGTAAGGCAGCAGGGGCTGAAATGTAGTCAAGAACCTTAAATAGTCAGCATCTTGGTTTTGGGTGGTTGTTTGGGGAGGGGGTTATTTGTTGTTGTTGTTGTCCCAACTACAGTCAACTGTACTTTAAGATTCTAAAGAGGAGGCCATGAATGTAGCTCAGTGGTAGAGTGCTTGCCTACCATGCCCAAGTTCCTGGTTTCAAACCCAATGCCACTGCAAATAAAAAGTTAGTAAATGAGAGTGAATACCAAACTATTTAGAAAACCCAACTATATACTGCTTATAAGCAAAACATCTAAAATGTAAGCCGGAAAGGTAAACATAAGATATAACCAGAAAGTTAATAAGTAAAGTAGGTTAAGAACTAAAATCTCTTCACTAACATAAATAAATAAATATGTATTCTAAGAAGTTACTTCCTTGCTGTCTTTCTAGGTCTCAAGGGACATGAGAAATGGCACAGCAATCACAGAGTTCATCCTCCTAGGCTTTCCTGGTATCCAAGGATTACAAGTCCCTCTCTTTATAGTGATCCTTCTCATTTACATATTAACCCTTGCTGGCAATGGGCTCATTATTGTTATTGTCTGGGTTGAGCCCAAGCTGCAAATCCCAATGTACTTCTTCCTTTGCAACTTGGCCTTCCTAGAGATCTGGTACACCACCACCATCATCCCCAAACTGCTAGAAACCTTTGTAGTAGCAAAAACAGTCATCTGTATTTCATGCTGCCTGATGCAGGCCTTCTTCCACTTCTTCCTGGGCACCACTGAGTTCTTGATCCTGGCTGTCATGTCTTTTGACCGCTACTTGGCCATCTGCAAGCCCCTTCACTACCCCTCCATCATGACCAGCAACCTCTGCCTGCAGCTGGCCCTCAGCTCCTGGGTGGTGGGCTTCACCATTGTCTTTTGTCAGACAATGCTGCTCCTCCAGTTGCCATTCTGTGGCAACAATATCATCAATCATTTCTACTGTGACGTTGGCCCCATCTTGAAAGCAGCCTGTGCAGATACCAGCATTTTGGAGCTACTGGGTATCCTGGCAACCATCTTTGTGATCCCAGGTTCACTCCTCTTTACAATCATTTCTTATATCTACATCCTATCTACCATCCTACAAATTCCTTCAGCCGCTGGTCGCCAAAAGGCTTTCTCCACCTGTGCCTCTCACCTGACAGTTGTCTCCCTGCTCTATGGAGCTGTTCTGTTCATGTACCTGAGACCCACAGCACACTCCTCCTTTAAGATTAATAAGGTGGTATCTGTGCTGAATACTATTCTCACACCCCTTCTCAATCCCTTTATTTATACCATTAGAAACAAGGAGGTGAAAGGAGCCCTAAAAAAGGCAATGACTTGTCCAAAGACCCAGCATGCCAAGTAAAACATGCAGCACATCACCTTGAGCTTAATGTAAATACCAAACTTAAATGTGAGACAGGATTATAAAGAAGTGTGGTAAAACATAACCTCCCCCTCCCAAAAAAAAACCTAGAAGTTCAGTTTTGAGGCAAAATAAAGATATGAAAGCAAATTATGAGGATTAGGGGCCCTTGTGAGAATTTGTTATATATATAAATGAACCGGGAGTTCTCCTTGAAGATAAGTGACCCAATTCTCAAAAAAGAAAATCCTAGAATACCCTCAGATGCACAGGTAGAACTAGGAAAGGTAGCAGAATACAACAGTTACTAATATGGCATTATGTAAAAATGTGGATGTGTAACCAATGTGATTCTGCAATCTGTATTTGGGGTAAAAATGGGAGTTCATAACCCACTTGAATCGAATGTATGAAATATGATATGTCAAGAGTTTTGTAATGTTTTGAATAACCAATAAAAAAAGAAAAAAAATTATAAGCTAAAAGTAGAAACCATTAAAGTCAGAGATAATGTCAACAACTCTGGAAAAGTGTAAGGAATCTCATCTCCCTCCTCGTTTGAGGCAAACCTCTGCCTTGTCTCCTTGCCAAAGACATCCCATGCCTCATTTTTTCACTGCTATTACCTTCACTATAAGAGAAGTATGCTGGAGTATCCTGACGAATGTTAATGTTCTTTCAGCAATGTTTAAAATGACTCTAGTTTCTGTTTGATAATATGTGAATAAGGACACTTGCATCTTGATATGATACAAATTTGTAGGTAAACTAAAGTGTTCATTCTTAGATGGTATAAAAACATCAGCACATCTTATCAAAAGTTCAAATTTACATTTCATGGATTCTGCCAGTTTCTTTGATTTGATCTAGGTAGACATGTGCAACCAATAGATGCATCAGAGCAAATGTAACTAACAAGATCTTGTTCCTAGGAAACTCACCCCCAAGGTTACATGAACTTCATAGCTCACAGGCAGGGTTAGTTTATATCAATAATAATTAGGGCCATGTGTGTTAGCATTTCATACCAGACAAGAACAACTTACAGAAAGAAGAGTTTATTTCGGGCTCACAGTTTCAGAGATTCATTCTGTAGTCAGTTGACTCCATTGCTTTAGGCCTAAGGTGAGTCAGAACATCATGGTGGAAGGGCATGGGTTCATGGCAATTGGAAAGCAGAGAGAACATGAAGAGCCAGAACAAAAATATGTATTCCCCAAATGCATGCACCCAATGAACTACTTCCTCCAGTGATACCCCACTTGCCTGTAGTTATCACCCAGTAATCCATTCAAATGGATCAAGCCACTGATTAGATTACAGCTCTCACAGTCTGATCACTTTACCTCTGAATATTCCTGCATTGTATAATATGAGGTTTTGCGGGGAATACCTCACATCCAAATCATAACAGCATGATTTTTAATGAAGTACAAAATGGGTCAGGTTCAAGGTCATATAATAGGCACTTTCATAGGCTTGGGATTTGGAAAATTTGTTCTTCAATAAAGTGTTAAAAATTCTGAGTTCAGTTGTAAAAGTACCTCCTTAAACTTGCCAAAATTCACATCGCTTTCATTTTTAATTCTGAGCCTTCTTTTTAATACCTAACATCTTATGGAGCAAACACTTCATGGAAATTCTGCTTAACTAAAGTGCACATATTTTCAGGAACAAGTTAACTCAAAAGCTCATTGTCAAGAATTTGGCTCGTATCTACCCAAGACCTCAACCTTTTCATTGAAGTTACTGATAGTAAAAAAACAGTAAATATCCAGGTATCTGAAGAGTAAGTTATTTGTGAAATTGGGTGATTCCTTATATGAGTCTTTATTCTCTCAGAGAAAAGTTGAATGTGCACATTTTAGAAAAACATTTGGGCACTAGAGGACAAAGACAGAGTGGGGTGCACTATGAAATCAAGTTGTCATGTTGTCTCTGTGGCCATGGTGGCTCTTTTTCCTAAAAATAATGCTGCAGCTCCTGCAGGCCCTGGCGGCAGACAACACCTGGTTGGTGTCTTTGGCCTCCCATTTAGGCGAAGAAAAGTCAGACCTCAAGTATAGTTCCCTGGAACACTTTCTGTAATACATAACACTCTTGTTGCTCAGATTTTTGGAAGCTTCACTGCTGGACAGGCAGTGAACTGGCATTTCCAGTTCTTCAAACTGATACCTGGGTAGACTACAAAAAAAAAAAAAGGATTCTTTTTCCCCATCAAAATCAGTACAAAGAACATTAGTCACTCTCTGGTACATGATGCCAATATGTGAATAAGACATGAAAAATGCATGAATTCATGTTGTATTTTATTTTCATGAATTGAAGGCTGTTGGCATTTTCACACCTGTTCTTCCCTTCTTTACAGTATCTGTCAAGGTGTTTAAAGTCACACTATGCCAAAGGGAATGAAAAAGACACTGAAGCTATAAATCTAAAAACCTCAGGTTCAGACTTACACCACAGACCTGTTTTCCCTTCATGCCCATTACTCCCAAATTTCCAAGAAATTTACAAATTTTGGAGTTACTGAAAAGTCACTGATTTATGAAAATTGCCTCATTTTTATTAAAGTTTAAGTGCGCTGTTTAATTTGTATTTTCAGATTAGACAAAGCAAAGGGAGATGGATTTTAAGAAACCTATAATACAGGCACATTCCAAACATTACCAGGGAAAAAAGAAAATGTCAACCTGTAACAGTGGTCCACTTCATACTTTGAATCTAGCCCTTGATGCTCTGCCACAGCAACTTATTTTTAAACCTAGATATGTTTCTTTATCTTCTTCTCTCTCTTTTCCTCCCTAATTCTTTCCCTCCCTGATCTCAGGGAAAACACTATTACCTCTTTTCCCCATCCTAGGCAGAGTTAACTGTTCTTGAGCACACAAGTACCACAGGAACAAATTCAGACTTGGGGCTTGTACCAGAAGAGCTAGGAAATGACCATCTCCCAAATCAACAAGTCAAGTACAACTCCAGACAGAGAATGTCTGGAGTGGTGCTTTACAATGGCCTCTTTTAAAATCCCCTAATTCCCTTGATGGGCAGAATTTCAGCCTCTGGAACAGGAGTCTCCTGTATTTTTCCTTTGCTAACAAAGTAATAAAACTTCTTTTTTCCTTTTTCTTAAAACTATGTCCTCATTATTGGACTGGTATCAGAGACAAGAGCTGAACTTTTGGTAACAAATTGGTGACCCAGATGGGACCAAGAGCAGCCTCTGCTCCAGCTTTCTTGAGCATGCCTGGCACTCCAAACACTCCCACGTCCATGCTGAGGAAGCAAAGTGGCTGGCAGACTTGTTGAGAGTCAATTCCTGAAGTGTTAGGAGATGGATGAGTTTGCCTCCAGTCAAACTGGAGGAGCTGTTCCTGTGAGTAAAGGGTGGGGGGGACTGAGGCTGCCAACAAAACATAGGTTAGTTTTAGTTTCTGTTTTTTGCTTTTCTGGGTGCTGTTTGTTTTGCCTGCCAATCTTCTGTTAAAGCAAGAGTTGCTGTGCCCCAGTGATGGACACCCTCTGACTGAATGGGGTCGGCAGCTGCCAAAGTTCCTTTTGCTTTGGGGACTTCCAGCCATTTGGGGAATTCCCTACCATTGGTACAGTTTGCTCCATCTTGGTCCACTTCAAGAAAAAGGAAACTGAATACAGTACAGTCACAATACCCTTTGGCTATCCTGTAAGTCCCCTGGTGTGCATTTCAAGAGTCTTGATTCCACACTTCTAGTTCCTCCTCATGGGAACATCTGGTTCCTCTGTGTGGGGTCATCTTTGGAACAAGTGGTATAGGAGTTGAAGTTAAGCAGGCTTCAAGAACCTAAGGATACTTACTCCCTTTTGGTCTGTTCTAGGTTCTCGTCTGTTTGTTGGCCTTGGGTTCAGGAATTCCTTGATTGTCCATCTGTTACTGACCCTTTTAAGACACAGGCAATACTGCATTAATCCTATAGGCAGTCTCTAGGGAAAGATCTTGGATGGTCTGTTTTAAATCTTCCCACCTGTCAACCATAGTTTTGGGAATCTTCCCTGGTTGTCTATCTCTATGTTCCTTTTTTGTATGTGTCTGTTACTGGCCCTTTAAGTCATAGAGTCATGCTGCATTGATCTTACCAGTAGTGTCTTGGAAAGAAATATCTTGGCTGAATGGGCCACCTACATGTATAAGCCTATCTAAGAGAAAGATGTTTGACTGTAATACAATCTGGCTTTTGAATGTTCTTCTGGATTATTATACAATCTTGCAACTGGAGTTGGTCTGTCAGAGATAAAGTATATGAAAGAGATTTTCTGTGTACAAGCATTTATGCAGTTGCATAAAAAGGAGACTGAACAGTCAAAACTAAGTTGAGGCTCTGTGTGGATAGCAGGATAACAGGAAAAGGGGTGAAAAAATTTTAGATCCTTTCAACCCACTGCTGGCACCCCAGCACTGTTTCTCAGCCTGGCCCCAAGCAGCTGTAGATCATCTTACTGTGGGTCAAGGATACTGGCCCCCGACTGGAAAAAAGATCCCCAAGAAATCTGCCTGGGCTGTAGAAAAATAGGCAAAGAGAAACTGACCCTTGCCTTGCCTCCCAGTCCCTTTTACCCATGGCAGGGTGGAGGCAAAAGGACATGGCAATAGGTTCCAACATACTTAGTTTATAACCTGGGGACAAGAGTGATCTCGCCTTTTAAGATTTGACCGAACACTTCATTCAGCCAGGGTGTGTCCATCACTGGGGCACGGCAACTTGTGCTTTAACAAAAGACTAGCAGGCAAAACAACTGCACCCAGAAAAGATAAAAACAGAAACTAAAGCTAACCTGTGTTTTGTTGGCAGCCTCTGCAAAACTAAGGATATAAACAAATTGTAGAATGTCTAAGTAAGTTTCAGAAGATTTGTGGAAGATAAATCTCAAAAAAGTTTGTGTCTGTGATTAAACTGGCTATAGTTAGCACAAAGTTACTTGAATTTTAATGTAACTTACTTTAAACAAAGTTTGCAACATTGATTTGCTCTTATCACGATAATTTTCTTTTGTCTGTTAGGTTAGTACACAGGGAAAATAATTCTTAAAGAAATTAAGGTTTATACTGGTTT